TGATTGGCTAAAAAACCCACGCGTTCAACCCCATGGTTCAACTGACGCGGCCTTCAAGCATAAGGGTGTTGTATTTGAGTAAAATCTGATGTTTTTAAAGAACTTACTTCATGAACTAACAACGAGTTAAAGAACACAACGATATTAATACCAAGCCGTGGGCGTATTTGTCTTGAGCCCCATATATACATTGTGTCCCTTGGTTGCTCCAGGATCCGCTGATAGTTGAAATGATTACCAGATATGATCTATGTTTTGTTTTCACTGTACCCGTTGTTATTGGTTTCACCCAATGGCAAGTGTAACGTCAGTCCCCCTTCCTAATTAATCCGACACCTTGAATAGTGTTCAAAGTGGAGTGAAATTCAACGCACTCCCTCACAAACTTGAATAACTAGCCGGAACATGTAGGTGGAAATATTTCAATCTCAGATGTTGCCTGCGTATTGAACATGTCGGGCTTGTCAATTGACATGAAACAGTTGGGACCGACAACCGATTATTCCAGTGTAGTGCAAACGACTTGATCGCCCAATGCGTGCTGGGCGATATCCATTGAATTACTCTGACACACGAGTCCATCAGCTAGGGGATCTCCACCCCCAACGAGACGTGGGTCTGGTTTGGAGTGGTGGGTCAATGCGTGGTTGATGATGCAGTCTTAGACAATGACGATATTTGTCAAGATGTATGTTTACTGTAGTCGAACAGGTTTAATCCTATATTTAAAAAAGGGAAGCTGTCACGTTTCTTTTGAGTAACTTGCATTTTCTTCACTTACCTCTACAATAAAAGGGGCGGTCGACTAGCCTAGTGGTTAAAACGTTCGCTCGTCACGCCGAAGACCCGGGTTCGATTCCCGACATGGGTACAATGTGTAAAGCCCATTTCTGGTGTCCCCCGCCGTGATATTGCTGGAATATTGCTAAAAGCGGCGTAAAACCATACTCACTCACTCACTCTAAAATAATACGCTGCGTTGGTCCATATATTTGTGGAAATACATGTTTGTTTGTTTCTTGTGTTGTTAAATGCCGCGCTCAGCAATATTCCATCTGTATGACGGCCATCTGTAAATAATCGAGCCTGGACCAGACAATCCAGTGATTGACATCATGAGCATCGATCCACCTAATTGGGAAACGATGCCATGCATCAACCAAGTCAGCGAGCCTGACCACCCGATCCCGTTAGTCTGCTGAAGACCACATCTTCCCCGGATCTTCACGGGTCGGAAACACATGTATGAATATCTGTTGTCGTGGGTCAATGTTTCCAAATCGCACTGAAGGATTTCGTATGGAGACTGGATATTGTATCAGCTACTGCTGCAAAACCAGATATGTAATTAATTAAAATTATCAGTTAATATTAAAAGAAGACTCATCTCGGAACAATGTATATTTTGTGACATGTAAATTCTTATTTCAACTGTGTGAAGCATGATTTTTTTCAAGCATTTCCTGGTGCAATTTATTTGAATATAATATAGAATATCAAGTGCATTCGTCAACACTCGTCCCTTTCCGTAACCTGCCAAGAAGACTCGTCCCCCTATCGATGAATTTTATGTGTTATGAAAATACGACAAACCAATCAGAATGCGCGTATGATTTCAAGTTCTTCGTCAAATAATCCCTCAGAAATATTTTTTGATTGTACATATGTCTTACATCTAAAAATATACCAAAGACACAGTGTTCAATCACACTGTATAATTCCGCATGTCCCGATGTGCTTTAAATTGCATCTGAAATATATATAATATATGGGGAAATGTGAGTGAACCATTAAGCAACGAGTTGACAGTTGTTTTAGGTATGCCCGTTTGCGCTAAGACGGAACCCGGTCGCAAAAATGGTCACGAGCGGGGCACGAGTCGCCATTAGGCTTGTCCACGTTGGTCACGAATGTATCAAGTGGTCGGCCCCTAAGATGAAAGCCGATCCACGTAGGCACCTAATGCAGTATTCTACAAATATTTCAGGTGCCATCTAAATGAGTAAACTATAAATATGGAATTAAATCATTTCTAAAACATATACTGAGTCATATTAAAAACTTCTTTAAAAAAAAAAAGTAATCCCATATATGATATACAACGGACAAATGTGTCAGAGAAGGTAATTTTTAATCATTAATGTCCAAAGAAGGATTTTAATTAACGGTGGTAACCATAATTTGTTCCAAGCACCTACGGTATTCGGTAATAACATCAACAGTTTAAATCATAAGTCCCAAGCACGAGAATCTGATGGCACACAAGTTCAGTGGCGTGTATGGCCACCATGTGCGTTGACAACTGCCACACAACGCCTCCGCATGGACCTTGTGATGCGTGTGAACACATGATTGGGAGGACGACGCCATTGTTGCTGCAAAATGGTGCCAAGATCTTGTAAATTCTGTAGTTGGTTCTGGAGAGTGCGCAGACTTCTGCCAAGAGCATCCCAGACGTGTTCGATGGAATTGAGGTCGGGAGACCTTGACGACCAGTCCATGACGTTGGCTCCCGCATTCTGAAGGAAATTCCTTGTCAAAATTTCTGTGTGGGGTCTGGCATTGTCGTGTTGGAAGATCAAACCGGGTCCATGTGCTGCCATAAAAGGCAGAAGTTCTGGTGCCAGTACCTGGTCGCGGTAAGCAGCAGCGTTGAGGTTGCCACGGATGACAAGAAGCCTAGAACGTGCATTGCCACAGAAAGCACCCCACACCATGACACTTCCGCCTCGAAATCTGTCAACTTCCTGTACACAACACTGGGGGTAATGTTCATGACGGCGCCTCCACACCCTCGCCCTACCAACAGCAGATCGAAGATTAAATCGGGATTCATCACTGAAGACGACTTGATTCCAATTCCTCTGAGTCCATCGTAAGTGTCGCTGTGCCCACAATTGACGTTGACGTCTGTGTAATTGAGTCAGAATCGGCCCGCAGTATGGCCGTCGTGCTTGAAGGTGAGCAGTTCTCGTACGGTTTCGAACAGTTTGCGCACTCAGTCTACCCCTAAACAGTTCATTTCTGGTTGATGTAGCCGTCAAAAATCGGTTGCGGAGCTGACGTAAGACAATCTGACGATCCTCTTCATGTGACATCACACGTGGTCGACCTGGCCGAGGGCGATCAGCGGTGGTATCCGTTTGCTGTAGACGCGTCTGTAAATCAAAAACAGTCCGTCGACTACAACCCATTGTCCTTGCGACTTCAGCTACGGACGTTCCCGTCTGCAACATGCCGATGGCACGTTCACGTTGCACATTTGAAAGGCGTGGCATGACAAATGGCCGTAAAGACTTTTGTTTTCTTGTGTTTTTCTTTTTTTGTTAATGACTGCTAAAAAGTATGCCTGAAAACACGTGCGGTATTATGGCCACGTGACCAGTTGCACGTGAAAAAACACTTTTGCCACTATAGTGCTGTGCATATGATTTTGATCGATTCACCTGCACAAAAACGGAAGTTATCTGAAGACAATACCTGGCCATTACTGTTTAAATACACAATAAGGGCCCACAATGATAACTGGTCAAAATGTTAAAATTTTAGGATTGTGAAGTTTTTAATTTGGTTCAGTATATTAAAACAAGTATCTAGAAGAAAACAAATCTGAAGGCAATATTTTTGGAAAAAAACGTAGAAACCTACTCATATTCCGGAAACTACCGAGAGTTAATGAGCAGAGTTGTCATCACGTGACTGACGTCATAGTTGACTTGCAGACGATCACTGTTTCTGTATCTGTCTGGTAGATGACAAGCGTTCGCCATGGCATCACCTGACAATGCCATCGATGAAAACGTTGATTTTTCGCTCAGTGACCTAACACATGTTCGTCCATATCGATATGAGCCGGAGGTTAGTCAAAATAGTCTTGACAGCAGAAAATCCAAGTGGCTGTTACTGACGGTATACCGTCTCATATTAGGTCAGTGTCAACCATCTTGGATTTTTACTGACGGTATACGGGCTCATGTGGGGTCAGTAGTTCTGCTCTCTGATTGGTCAATCTCACAATGAGGCATAATAATGAACCTAAATGTGTTTTCTATCCAAGTAATGTCGTAAGAGGCGACTAGCGGGATCGGGTGGTCAGGCTCGCTGACTTGTTTGATGCATCGATCCCAGTTGTGTTGATTGATGCTCAGGATATTAATCACTGGATTGTCTAGTCCAGACTCGATTATGTTACAGACCGCCGTCATATAGCTGGAATATTGCTGAGTGCGGCGTTAAACAACAAACCAAACTATCCAAATGAATGTTTGCTGATAAAACTGTATTGCCTAGTGACAGTTCATACAGTTAACACATCGGTTTTTCGATTCATACCACAATGAACCGAAAACAATACACAGTCAATCCTTAAATATACATAAAACCGACACACAAATACTTTTTTTCACATTGACATTTATCGTAAAATCATTCCTGAGGCAAATACATGTACTTGATATTTTTTCTTCATTTTTCATGTCTAACTTTTCTCCTCGCTAAATCGGCCTTTTCGCTTGGACATTTCAAGAAATTACACTTGGTACTTTTGTGTGATGAACTAGTACGCCCCACGCCCACACAATTCCGCATACGCCGCGAATAACGGAAAATCACTTCATTGTCATGTAGATGAATGGACTGTAAACGACAACAAAATGGCAAACGCCTCTCCCCTATGACGTCTCGGGTACACTTTCAATTTGCATACACGCTGGTTGTGGCATCAGAGCAGTTGTTTGTTGTTTTTTAGATAACAATGAAATCACATAGGACTCCTATTTGGTGTTAATGTGTACTTTGTAAGACTCTTTGACATGTTTAAAAAGGTGTTTTTTCAAAAGATCTCCTTTAAGACCATTCCAAACTCCGTCGCACTTGCTTTCACGAAGACATAATGATCACGTCATGAGGCCTGTGTGCGGGGGTTATCGATAAACTGTTTCTATATTTCTCCACTCAGCTCTAATGTCACGTTTTATTGTATATAACTTTGCTTATTTCAGGAAAGTACCTCATACATTCTTATTATTCACGTGAGTATTTCACTAGTGATATCATCATAAGTAGAGGTAGTAGTTGCACTAGTAGTATCACTAGCAACAGCAGAGGTAGTAGTTGCATTAATACAATCACAAGCAGCAGAAGTAGCAGTTGCATAAATGGTATCACCGGCAACAGCAGTAATAGTTGCACTAATAGTATCACCAGTACGTTGCACGAATAGTATCACCAGCAACAGCAATAGTAGTTGCACTAATAGTATCACAATAAGTTGCACTAGTAGTATCACCAGCAACAGCAGTAAGTTGCACTAGTAGTAGCACTAGCAACTGCAGGGGTATTAGTTGCACTTATACTATAATCAGCAAGAGCAGTAATAGTGACACTATGCATGTTACCAGCAAAGCATGAGCATGAGCCCAAGTTAAAGTAGTGGCACAAGAAGTATCGCCAGCCAAAGTTAAAGTAGTGGCACAAGAAGTATCGCCAGCCCAAGTTAAAGTAGTGGCACAAGAAGTATCGCCAGCCAAAGTTAAAGTAGTGGCACAAGAAGTATCACCAGCCAAAGTAAAAGTACTGGCACAAGAAGTATCGCCAGCCAAAGTTAAAGTAGTGGCACAAGAAGTATCGCCAGCCAAAGTTAAAGTAGTGGCACAAGAAGTATCGCCAGCCAAAGTTAAAGTAGTGGCACAAGAAGTATCACCAGCCAAAGTAAAAGTAGTGACACAAGAAGTATCGCCAGCACTAGCAGTAGTGGCACAAGAAGTATCACCAGCCAAAGTTAAAGTAGTGGCACAAGAAGTATCGCCAGCACTAGCAGTAGTGGCACAAGAAGTATCACCAGCACTAGCAGTAGTGGCACAAGAAGTATCGCCAGCCAAAGTTAAAGTAGTGGCACAAGAAGTATCACCAGCCAAAGTAAAAGTAGTGGCACAAGAAGTATCGCCAGCACTAGCAGTAGTGGCACAAGAAGTATCGCCAGCCAAAGTTAAAGTAGTGGCATAAGAAGTATCGCCAGCCAAAGTTAAAGTAGTGGCACAAGAAGTATAACCAGCACTAGCAATAGCAGTAACACGTTTATCATTTTCAATGTGGACTGCATTGATGGATGCTGATTACTTTTTTTAACATAATCCCCTCAGAGCTTCACACTCTTCTGCCAACGATGCTAGAGTGTCTGATGCCACTGATGTAGAAAGCTTCCTGTTACTGGTGCAAAAGGTCCTCCACAGCAAAAATGGTCATCATTTGCTAAAAAAATCTTCAAGTTTGAGTGGTGGAAATTCAAAGCCACAGTCTAGGATTGCAGCCGTGGCGACAACTGACTTGTGCACAGGTGCAGTGTCCTGGTAGAACAGCATACATTGAGTGAGGTTTCCACAACGTCTAGCTTTGATGTTTTCACGCAGATGCCTTAGCTGATTAGCGTGAATCCCAGAAAATCGAAGTCGTCATTTTGCCAACTAATGAAACAGACTTTGTCTTCTTCCCCGATGAAGCATCATGGAGATTATGAGCTGCCCATGTACCCCATTCCCCACGTACACATTAGAGTAGTTGGATGAAAAGAAACAACATATTTTTGATGGAAAGGTCTTTAGTAACCTTTTCTATAATCACTTTAGAAATGTCTACTAAAAGCAGAGTCCATTGATACAATTCACATTATATCGTAAGCATGTGTTTATGAATCACTTTCACATAGGGATAACACCAGGTGATCTCGAAAAGGCGAGTGTATACCGCCCCACCGGTGACACCCGTCAAAAACACATGCAAAGGCAAGTCAAGTATTAAACTGAACAAACACCGGGACATTTTTGTAACTGATGCGTCAAATTTGGAAATGTCTACTGTTAACCGTTTTGAAAGCTTTACTACGGCTTTGAATGTTGTTACCAAGATCAAATAACGTTAAAGCAATACGCGCTTTGAAATCTTCTTACAATGAGTATGCTCGATTGCATCTCAAAAGTTGTTGACTGTATGCACCAAAGGTTGGAGCTGCTGTAATATTGCTCGACGTAAAGGGAAAGGTGACTGTTGCAAATTTGAAGTCCCTCTGAATCTCTGGCGTACAAGCCAAGGCCATCACTTCTGTGTGTAATGATTATGTCATCTCTAATTGTTTCACACAGTTACCACGCTACTTGATCACACTAAAGTGAATATAAAAGGCTGCGACTTGGAACAGTTGAAAGCCACTGTTGAGGGCTTATCATGATCGTTTCCCCCTTTCTAAAGAAGTGCTTTAAGTAGCCATAAAGCACGGACAATATCCATCCAGACCTACAGGTAAAGTAGTCTAAGTAGCCATAAAGCACGGACAATATCCATCCAGACCTACAGGTAAAGTACTCTAAGTAGCCATAAAGCACGGACAATATCCATCCAGACCTACAGGTAAAGTAGTCTAAGTAGCCATAAAGCACGGACAATATCCATCCAGACCTACAGGTAAAGTAGTCTAAGTAGCCATAAAGCATGGACAATATCCCTCCAGACCTTCAGGTAAAGTAGCCTAAGTAGCCATAAAGCATGGACAATATCCATCCAGACCTTCAGGTAAAGTAGTCTAAGTAGCCATAAAGCACGGACAATATCCATCCAGACCTACAGGTAAAGTACTCTAAGTAGCCATAAAGCACGGACAATATCCATCCAGACCTACAGGTAAAGTAGTCTAAGTAGCCATAAAGCACGGACAATATCCATCCAGACCTACAGGTAAAGTAGTCTAAGTAGCCATAAAGCATGGACAATATCCCTCCAGACCTTCAGGTAAAGTAGCCTAAGTAGCCATAAAGCATGGACAATATCCATCTAGACCTTCAGGTAAAGTAGTCTAAGAAGCCATAAAGCATGGACAATATCCATCCAGACCTACAGGTAAAGTAGTCTAAGTAGCCATAAAGCATGGACAATATCCCTCCAGACCTTCAGGTAAAGTAGCCTAAGTAGCCATGAAGCACGGACAATATCCATCTAGACCTTCAGGTAAAGTAGCCTAAGTAGCCATGAAGCACGGACAATATCCCTCCAGACCTTCAGGTAAAGTAGTCTAAGTAGCCGTGAAGCACGTACAATATCCATCTAGACCTTCAGGTAAAGTAGTCTAAGTAGCCATGAAACACGGACGATATCCATCTAGACCTTCAGGTAAAGTAGTCTAAGTAGCCATGAAGCACGGACGATATCCATCTAGACCTTCAGGTAAAGTAGTCTAAGTAGCCATTAAGCACGGACAATATCCATCTAGACCTTCAGGTGAAGTTGTCTAAGTAGCCATGAAGCACGGACGATATCCATCTAGACCTTCGGGTAAAGTAGTCTAAGTAGCCATGAAGCACGTACAATATCCATCTAGACCTTCAGGTAAAGTAGTCTAAGTAGCCATGAAGCACGGACGATATCCATCTAGACCTTCAGGTGAAGTAGCCTAAGTAGCCATGAAGCACGGACGATATCCCTCCAGACCTTCAGGTAAAGAAGTCTAAGTAGCCATAAAGCACGGACGATATCCCTCCAGACCTTCAGGTAAAGAAGTCTAAGTAGCCATGAAGCACGGACGATATCCCTCCAGACCTACAGGCAAAGAAGTCTAAGTAGCCATGAAGCACGGACGATATCCATCTAGACCTTCGGGTGAAGTAGCCAAAGTAGCCATGAAGCACGGACGATATCCCTCCAGACCTTCAGGTAAAGAAGTCTAAGTAGCCATGAAGCACGGACGATATCCTTCCAGACCTACAGGCAAAGTAGTCTAAGTAGCCATGAAGCACGGACGATATCCATCTAGACCTTCAGGTAAAGTAGTATAAGTAGCCATGAAGCAAGGACGATATCCATCTAGATCTTCAGGCAAAGTAGTCTAAGTAGCCGTAAGGCACGGACGATATCCATCTAGACCTTCAGGTAAAGTAGTCTAAGTAGCCGTAAGGCACGGACGATATCCATCTAGACCTTCAGATAAAGTAGTCTAAGTTGCCGTAAAGCACGGACGATATCCATCTAGACCTTCAGGTAAAGTAGTCTAAGTTGCCGTAAAGCACGGACGATATCCATCTAGACCTTCAGATAAAGTAGCCTAAGTAGCCATAAAGCACGGACGATATCCATCTAGACCTTCAGATAAAGTAGTCTAAGTAGCCGTGAAGCACGTACAATATCCATCTAGACCTTCAGATAAAGTAGTCTAAGTAGCCATGAAGCACGTACAATATCCATCTAGACCTTCAGGTAAAGTAGTCTAAGTAGCCGTGAAGCACGGACAATATCCCTCCAGACCTTCAGGTAAAGTAATCTAAGTTGCCATGAAGCACGGACAATATCCATCTAGACCTTCAGGTAAAGTAGTCTAAGTAGCCGTGGAGCACGGACGATATCCCTCCAGACCTTCAGGTAAAGTAGTCTAAGTAGCCATAAAGCACGGACAATATCCCTCCAGACCTTCAGGTAAAGTAGTCTAATTGGCCATGAAGCACGGACGATATCCCTCCAGACCTTCAGGCAAAGTAGTCTAAGTAGCCGTAAAGCACGGACGATATCCCTCTAGACCTTCAGGTAAAGTAGTCTAAGTAGCCTTGAAGCACGGACAATATCCCACCGGACCTTCAGGTAAAGTAGTCTAAGTAGCCATAAAGCACGGACAATATCCCTCCAGACCTTCAGGTAAAGTAGTCTAAGTAGCCATCAAGCACGGACGATATCCATCTAGACCTTCAGGTAAAGTAGCCTAAGTAGCCATGAAGCACGTACAATATCCATCTAGACCTTCAGGTAAAGTAGTCTAAGTAGTCATGAAGCACAGATAATATCCATCTAGACCCTCAGGTGAAGTTGTCTAAGTAGCCATTAAGTACGGACAATATCCATCTGGACCTTGAGGTCAAACATTTCAATCAGTCGTAAAGCTCGGCCATTTTTTATCCACCACTTCATGGCCAATATTTTATGCAGTTGTGAACCTACGGAAATTATTCATCTTGAACTTAAAGTCATATATTTAAAAAATAGTATTACAGTCTTGCATAATGATGGATTTCAAGATTTGTCGAGACAGCATTGAAGACATGCTCTAAATACTACGACTATTAAAGTCCGAGCGAAGATATGTTACTTGTCTGGTTAAGCATTCATATATCTTTAAATCGGAAAAAAGTCACTCATGACTCATGACGATATGAAACCACTATATCAGTGAAAGAAAGACAATTACCGACATATGATATTCTGGTGGGAGAAGTCTGGCTTTCTTTTATACAAAAAATACACGTGACTCAAAAAGTTCCCAGTGACACTTTTTGTTTTGTTTCTAACAAAAAATCCCATCTCGCATCTATACTTCAATAGACATGAAACAAAGTTGTCCTACAATTGTGATGAATGGAACGAATGAGCATGACTGGTCTGTACAGAACATTTGACGAACGACGGTTTCAATAGATTACAGACATATATCATTATTGTGTGGAGATAATACAGCGATCTAAATGAAATCAACTTGAAGAAAAAATTGAAACATGTATATGAATTCGCGCCGTGTCAAGTCTTTTTATATGTTCTTCTGTACACCTCTGTACACCTCTGTACACTTCACACCTCTTTACACACACACACACACACACACACAGACACACACACACACACACACACACACACACACACACACGTGCGGTGTTCATTTCTGGGAGCATTCGCACTGCAAAAGGATCAATAAGCAAGACTCCGAGCCTGGTAAGGTGTTGTGGTGGTTTATGTTACGAAGCCAGGTAAGTATTATTAACGAAAGCGCGTAGTATTAATTCAATGACATTTATTAAACACACTGTTTGTTCTTATATCTTTCTTTATTCTTTCACAACGTTTTCATAACAATAGTATTTACATTTTTCTGAAATATAGCACATGCACATTTATCAAATGCTAATGATGTACATTGTTTCAATGATATTCGTCACTTGCATGGTAAACACCACTATAATGTACTGGTCGACTCGAAATACTGAATACGGCGTTCACTCATACAGTCGATCACTGTAGTTGCATTGTTATCACTGGAAAATTATCGTTTTCTGATGTTTAATGACTGATAGTATTACATCTTCTAAATTAAAACAACATGTTAACCCAGAAATCTGTACATAAAAATATTCAACGTGAAACCAACAAAACAAATGGTATACAGTTAACAATTGTATCATATTAACTAGATTTACAAATGAATACAAATTACTGCAGAGTAATTACAGTGGTAGTACACAATAGATGGCAGGAAAAAATTCAATACAAGTACAGTGGCAGTATAAATTTCAATACAAGTACAATGGCAGTATAAATTTCAATACAAGTACAATGGCAGTATAAAACATACAGCGGGGATGTTGCAGAGTTCGACGTTAAACAATATTCCTGAAACATGTTGAACATCAAACGTTTTTGCTCATTCAAACTCGTCCATAATGAAGAATAATTTACAGTCATTGGAGCAGGAATGTTTTCCCCTGGACACTACTCTATTCTCATTATCGCAAAGGTGATGAGTCTAGCCGAAATTCTCTTTGTTTAGTAGCACTGTACACTAGCTAATCCATTTTTCATACTTACTTGTATTTTCTTCGTTATTGTAGGGGGCACGGGTGGCCCAGTCGTCTAAGGCGCCGCGATTCGCTGTGCAGAGTTGCGTCCCTTGGGCAAGCCAGAAACCTATGATTGTGGGTTTGAATCCCGGTTCGCCCCGATTATGTTTCTAGGTTTGTCAGCACCATACCCGTGCTCGTGGATTTCACCGAAGTGGTAAACGTCTGAGACCTGCGTCATTTCGGGCTTTCCTCCCACATTAAGCTGACACGCCGCGATATAACTAGAGTACTGTTAAAAGCGGCGTTAAACCCAACTCACTCACTCGTTATTGTCATAAGCTCCTTGGATTCTTTAAACATCACGGAGGGTGTTTCTAAAAAGCACTCAGAACCTATGATACATTTCTACTTCAAAAGACTTACACCAGTATTATTATTTACATCTATAGAATCGGATTTAGTTCATACATTTACTTATATACCTTCTACTTACCTATCTATTGATACTAAGAATACTGACTGCAATTCTTGTATATTCATAGGAACCCGGATGGTGGCCATGTTCTTATTTTGTCATATTGAAATTAACTCTCGGTTTCTTTAAGTTTGACTTAACATCCACAACAAACACTTTCTGAAGATATTTACATTTCTAATTAGGGCCCGTGAAGATCCGGGATAGAATAGGTCTTCAGCAACCCATGCTTGCCAAAAAAGGCGACTATGCTTGTAGAAAGAGGCGACTAACGGGATCGGGTGGTCAGGCTCGCTGACTTGGTTGATCGTATCCCGATACTCATTGTGACAATCACTGGATTGTCTGCTCCAGACTTGATTATTTACAGAGCTCGGTCATATAGCTGGAATATTGCTGAATGCGGCGTTAAACAACAAACAAAACTATGGTTGTGTTTATACCGATTTTACAAGCTGGAAAGGGAAAGGAAGTTTAAGGTGTGACTTGACAGGTCACGGGTCTTGCGGTCTTCTCATGTGGTTTGGTGGCTGTATCTTCACAGGGGGTTGAAGTATCGTAAAACAATTGTCCCCCTGGGAAGGTACGTAAGTCCGGTATCATTCAACGTATCATTTCATTTCTCTGTGATTTTAATCGTAGTATTTATGTTGATTTTAACTCTTTGGCTAATCTTTCTGATCATCGCCAGTGGCCAGAGGGATGGTGTAAATCCTGCTGGGGTACCATGTAGGTAGCAGAAGTACCGTAAGTCCCCATGGTCCCTAGTATGGTGGCCTAACTTTGGTTGCTGGCGATCTACAGCCCGTTTTTTATATTGTGTCGTCTGTTATAATCTGATTATTTTATTATTCTAAAACTAGTTTTACAATTATCATCTGTGATATTTTGCTAGTTGTTGTACTGTCCTTCGACGACGGGTCTTAATATATTATATAAATACATAACTTGCTCAAGTCACGATATGGCTGAAATAATGCCGATGTGACTTTAAATTTTAACTCACTCACTCACTCATGTGGTTTGGGGTATCCATAGTTAGAAAGCTAGTCAATCTGTAAGGTCATATAGTCCATATCATAATTCTAATTATATCTATCAATAATTTTAAATGATCACAATTACTGTTGCCTCGAGTAGCCTCGCCTCCAGCAGTGAGTTCAAACACTGGCACCTTTTGATGAATCTGATTCCATCTTCCATCCTCATCCCTACGTATGATTGGTGTCACCATTGACTCACCAATACAGTCATCTGTAGACATACTTTGATCGTTGCTATCTCTGATATTTAGATAGTATATGTGTCTAAGGTATCATTTACTATAGGCGGGAGAGATAGGGTTTGTTGGGTGTGTAATTTAAACTACTACAAATACCGATGATTATGTGTTTAAAAAACAGGAGATGAAAGGCTTTAAGTGCTTTGACGTCAGATTATAAAACATTGATCTAAGTATGTAAATGAATAATGTCTTAACCTTTTAACAAAACGTGACACACACATTTAATCAGTTGTATGAAGCTTGCACGTATTTGTGTTGTACTGAGTTGTTCCTTTGGAATGTTAGGCGAATTCCTTCATCAGATGATTATCTGTATTTTGAACACGAGGCTGTTGTTTATATGTTTGTGTTTACGGGCAGGGTGCAGTTTAGGCATTGTGTGTCTCTTTCTCGATCTGTGAACGCTCTGGGAAGAAACTGTGGTCGACAAGATCAGGTATGCGGTTATGACAACACTGCGACAGATTTTAGAATAATATGTCTCTGTTCTCAGCCTGTGAACGCTCTGCCAATGGTCTGCGCAAGTATCGCTGCCCGACTCTGGACCAGTTTGGCAACATCCGATGTATCGATGACAACAGTCTCTGCAATCACGTGCCAGATTGCCCTGAGGGGGAGGACGAACAACCTAGCCTGTGTCTCTTCTACAAAGTTGTAAGTCTTCTTGAAGACATTGGGGAATAACTTGTGATACTGCCAGGTCCAATGTCCCCCGCCAATGGGGCGTCATTGTTCCCAGCTCCAGTATTGTGCTGCGTATCAGTCGATCGATACTTTTCTTTAATAATTTCCCTTAGACATGCAAGGATTCTCAGATCGTGGGTTCAAGATACTCTCTAATAATGATCCCACTCAACCACGTTAATTGCAACGGGTCGCCCAGTTGTCTAGAATGGAGTCGCTTATTCGTCCCTGATTTATAGTCATGCGTTCGACTCCAAGATTCGCCCTGATTATGCTTGTTGGTTTGTAAGTACCATGCCGATGAAGTTGGTATCACCGAAGTGGGAGTGAGTGAGTATGGTTTTACGCCGCTTTTAGCAATATTCCAGCAATATCACGGCGGGGGACACCAGAAATGGGCTTCACACATTGACCCCATGTCGGGAATCGAACCCGGGTCTTCGGCGTGACGAGCGAACGCTTTAACCACTAGGCTACCCGACCGCCCCTCACCGAAGTGGAAAACTGCATCACTTTTCCTATCCGGTAAAGCTAACACGCCGTGATATAACTAAAATACTGTTCAAAGCGGCGTTAAACACAACGTATTCTTTCAGAATCTAAAACAAAATCATTTTTAGCCAGAACTAGCAGAATATTTGTGCAGGTAATCTGATCACTAAGCAGTTCACATAGTTCATACTTACAACGGAAGTGCTTGGTTAGGTCATACGCATATTATTCCATATTCCCTTAAACGTGATACATCTTTTCTGACATTTCAAGTTAAGATATACACAAGTACACAAGCGCTCTTGTTCCTTCGTAACAATGTAATATTTCTCAGTATACTCATTAAAACGTTTGTTGTCCCATCATTTTAAAGGACCGCCTCCGTGGTCTAGTGGTAGAGCGGAAGGTCCGGGGTTCGATCCCCGGCCGCGTCATACCAAAAGACGTTAAAAGATGGTACTTGTTGTTACCCTGTCTGGCGCTCGGCATTAAGGGGCTAAAACAAGGACTGGTCGGCTCGGAGTCAGTATACTGTGTCTGAGTGGGGTATTCATGTTAAACTGTGGCATGGTATCTCAGTGAGCTATCACTATAAATCGGCATCAGTCCGGACTAGTACAAGCAGCCACACAAACACACACACGTGCATGTACGTCGCTATATAAGTGCAATAATCTTTGACGCGACGTTAAACCCAATTACACCTCACCCACCACCATCATTTTAAACGTTTCTCCCACATGAAGTTGACTCGCTGGTTTATGATGATGTCATGATATAATGTTGCATTAATATTAACTCACTCAAATCGCTACGACATCATTTTGCCTTTTTGCAATTATGATCTTTCGTCTATGCTTCATATATGTGACCCGTGAAGATCCGGGGTAGAATAGGTCTTCAGCATACCATACTTGCCGTAAAAGGCGACTATGCTTGTCGTAAAAGGCGACTAACGGGATCGGGTGGTCAGGCCCGATGGCTTGGTTGATATATGTCATCGATCACAATTGCGTAGATCGATGCTCATGATATCAATCACTGGATTGTCTGGTCAAGATGCGATTATTTTACAGACCGCTGTCATATAGCTTGAATACTGCTGAGTGCGGCGTTAAACAACAAACACACAAACAAACTTCATATATGTTTGATATAAACAACTGTTTTATGAGACACTGTTTTGAATATAAATGAAACGTCAACACCAGAGAACAACCAGTCTCGATTATCCGACGAAACACATTCCACTGGGTGTAAAAGGCAACGCCGCGGTGAAACCTATATGAATGGACCCCTGAAACCAAGTGATGACACCAAGCACTCGCGAAACAGCGAATAAGACACGGCTTGGTCCGCGAGCAGAGGCATCCAGCGAGTACTCAGATCAATGATCTGCATGGCACACATGGCAGTGGTTCTTGTGCATTCCACAATTGTGATTCAATTACAAAGTTGCTTGACAACGGTATAAGGATCTATACCGAAACGTCGCCTTTACAGTAAATAAAGAAACTGTTATCCATAAAATTATCTCTACTTTGCATGTATGTAGTAGGGCTCATTAGACTACAATGAGGTGTAAACGGCTTCATTTAATTACCTCAAAGCGGTCGTATGTATTCACGAGTGATGGAAGAACGGGGTGTATACAATATAAAACGACAACGCCAGAGAATTGCCATACAAAATCCTGTGTTTAGCTATTGACATTGAATTGTTTCCATGTTTCAGATTGACCGCGACCTGAAGGCATTGTTTGACTTCATCGTTGAAAGGTTTGAAACACATCTTCACCGTCGTCATTGACAACGCTCTTGCTGTTCCAGGAATGGATGGAGCTGACCTCTCGCCCTCTTCTGCCTTTATACAATAGACCGCCCCACTGGTCTTGCAAGACTTTGTGAATATGAGAACTTTGCACATTGATCTTTCAGTGAACACCTTACACCATTCAAAAATGTATTTTGTGAAGCAGTTGTTTTTATTATTTTAATATTCTAATTTTATATTTCGTTGTTTTATGAAGCCTTCTAATCACTATGACATTTTTAGACCAATTGTTAAGACATTGCTCCTCGACCGGTCGTCATAATACAGTCAACTCCGGCTATAACTAAGTTGGATATTACGAACATTTGGATATTACGAACAGTCGGATATGACGAATAGTCGGATATAACAAATAGTCGGTTATGACGAATGGTCTGTAAGGACGAAAATAGTCGGATGTAACGAAAACAAAAGAACACACGGGTCTAAAAAACGGATATTGTGAATAGTCGGGTCTAACGAACACATTCCGAACTCCCCATTAATGGGAATAAACGTAACCGTTCACATGGATAAACAAATTCGGATATAACGAAGTCATTAGAAAGGTTCTAATGAGTTCGTTATATCAAGGGTTGGCAATAGTTACAATCACGCTTGATGTCGCTCTGACTATTGGTGTTATTCACGTTGGAGATAGCTGTAAACTCAATCTTCAGTTCAGCAGAAATAAAAGGTAGCCATGAAACCTTCATTCTACGGCTTCATTCCATTAACCCTACAACGTTGCTTACGTTATCGTCCTATTTTAAGCGTTATTTAGTCCTAACTGGTAGTATGTACACTGGTGTCTTGTACATACAGGACATTCCGTTGTGACGTTTTAGGGCACGTGTTACTTTAGGCCCTCCAGCCTTTGAGTGTTGTTTGATGGCTTCCTCTTAACATCAACTTCACTGATACATTTGTTTGATGATGGTAGAGGGATAATCTGAGTTTAGACTTATCTTTACATATTTATTGAATACCAGATAATATATGCAGTTGCCGTTTTTGCAGTCATCTGTTTGATATGCATTCAGGGGTGCACGGGTGGCCCAGTAGTCTTAGGCGCTGCAATTCGCTGTGCACAGTTGCGGTCCTTGTGCACGCCAGACACCTATGATTGTGGGTTCGCCCTGATGTTTCTAGGTTTGTCAGCACCATACCCGTGCTCGTGTGTTTCATCAGATTGGTAAACGTCTGAGACCTGCATCACTTCAGGCTTTCTTCCCACATTAAGTACACCGTTATTAGGGTAATATAGTGAATAGCACTGACAATCTCACTCACTCCATTTTACGACAGTCCAGAAAGGGGAAGACTTGTCCTTAAAGGTTGTCATCAAGCGTTAATTTCCAGCGCTGCTAAATCCCCAAACGGTGCTTACATATTCCTTAAGTTTTAGCATCATTGGGTTTTCTGCCCATATGTGTGCATAATTAAAATCCCATTGTAACGTATTTCGGTCACGTGTTACGTAAGGTCTTCCAGCCTTGGATATGCTCCATGGCTTCATTAAAATCGAATTCTTCTGCATAAGGTGGATTGTAATTGGATTATCGAAGAAGAAATCTTGCTCGTCATTCGACAATGTACAGATTCGAATGTATATACATGTTCCAAGAAAGGTAATGAAATAATGGTACCTTCGTTGATATTTAATTATTTGGCCGCAAGATAATTCTATTAATTTAAATTTTCCAACTTTATTCTGTGTTCGCCATTGTGTATTTGTTCATGTATAATACCGGAGAAATTCTGAATAAATATTAATTTGACAATGTTATCTCACAGGCGTTCGTTTATAATATCAAAGTGAGTGAGTGAGTGAGTGAGTATGGTTTTACGCCGCTTTTAGCAATATTCCACTAATATCACGGCGGGGGACACCAGGAATGGGCTTCACACATTGTACCCATGTCGGGAATCGAACCCGGGTCTTCGGCTTGACGAGCGAACGCTTTAACCACTAGGCTACCCAACCGCCCCTATAATATCAAAGACAATTATATACCTATTAATGGTATGTTTGTTTATATGTTTATCGTTTAAAGACAATATGGCAGCGGCCTGTAAGTTATCGATTCTTGTCCATACAAACCACGGAATCGGTGATACGATCCTCTTGTTACGTTCCAAGAAACGACGTTAAGATGGTACTTCTTGTCACCCTGCCGGTCGGTACTAAGAGGATTAGCAGGGATTAACCTGCTTCAAGTCAGCATAATGTGTCTGCAGGCTGTATCCATGCTTAACGGCGGAATAGAATCTCAGTCGGCTAGCACTATATAATCGGACCAGTACAAGCAGCCACACGCTCTATAAGTGAAAATATCCCATATCACCTAACCAGACAAACACGTGATTGATAATATGGCAAGTTACCAAGCCTACTAGGGACGATGACCACGCAATCAACCAAGACACTGAGCTTGACCACCAGATCAATTTAGTCAATCTAACCAGAATCCGGTAAGATTTCAGAGTCCCGTAATGGGACTCGAACCACAGACCTTCTGATCCGAGGTCGGACGTATTTCCACATGACCAAGCAGCTTAACCCCGTCAGCAAACAGACAAGGCAAGGTGAATGAATGTTACCGTACACCACTGTTCGTGGCGCTGATATTATCAAACAGTGTGCTTTCTGAAGTCATGAAGCAGGAGCAGCGATGTTTTTGTTCTCATGTTTCTCAGCCTACACGCAATAGCAGCCTACAATCAACAATAGTAGCCTACCATCATCACCAGGAGCTTACACTGAAAACTAACAGCCTTCACACACCGATAGCAGCGTACATTCGACAATTGCAGTCTAAACCGCCTATTAGTAGCCATCACAACACAAGCAGTCTACACTCAATATAACACATTACACTCAACAATAGTAGCTAACACTCAACAGCAACAGCAAAGACTTAACAATAGCAGTCTACACTCAACAAAAGCAGTCTACACTTAAACATAGCAGTCTACATTCAACAATATCAGTCTACACTCAACAATATCAGTCTACACTCAACACTAGCAGTCTACACTTAACCGTAGCAGCAAACACTTAACAACTGCAGCCAACACTCAACAATAGCAGCGAACACTCAACAGCAGCAGCAAAGACTTAACAATAGCAGTCTACACTCAACAATAGCAGTCTACACTAAACAATAGCAGTCTACACTCAACACTAGCAGTCTAGACTTAACCATAGCAGCAAACACTTAACAACAGCAGCAAACACTCAACAGTAGCAGTCTACACTCAATAATAGCTGTCTACACTCAACAATAGCAGCCTACACTCAACAGTAGCAGTCTACACTCAACACTAGCAGCCAACACTTAATAATAGCAGTCTACACTCAACAGTAGCAGTCTACACTCAACAATAGCAGCCAACACTTAACAATAGCAGTCTACAATCAACAATAGCGGTCTACACTGAACAATAGCAGCCAACACTTAAAAATAGCATTCTATACTCAACAATAGCAGTCTACACTGAACAATAGCAGCCAACACTCAACAATAGCAGCCAACACTCAACAATAGCAGTCTACACTGAACAATAGCAGCCAACACTCAACAATAGCAGCCAACACTCAACAATAGCAGTCTACACTCAACAATAGCAGCCACACTTAATAATAGCTGTCTTAACCCAACAGTAGCAGTCTACACTTAACAACAGCAGCCAACACTTAATAATAGCAGCCAACACTCATCAATAGCAACCAACACTCAACAATAGCAGTCTACACACAACAATAGCAGCCAACACTCAACAATAGCAGCCAACACTCAACAATAACAGTCTACACTCAACAATAGCAGTCTACACTCAACAATAGCAGGCAACACTTAATAATAGCAGTCTACACTCAACAATAGCAGCCAACACTTAATAATAGCAGTCTACACTCAACAATAGCAGTCTACACTCAACAATAGCAGCCAACACTCAACAATAGCAGTCTACACTCAACAATAGCAGTCTACACTGAACAATAGCAGTCTACACTGAACAATAGCAGCCAACACTTAATAATAGCAGTCTACACTCAACAATAGCAGTCTACACTCAACAATAGCAGCCAACAATTAATAATAGCAGTCTACACTCAACAATAGCAGCCAACACTTAACTATAGCAGTCTACAATCAACAATAGCAGTCTACACTCAACAATAGCAGCCAACACTTAAAAATAGCAGTCTACACTCAACAATAGCAGTCTACACTGAACAATAGCAGTCTACACTCAATAACAGCAACCAAAACTCAACAATAGCAGCTAACACTTAACAACAGCAGCCAACACTTATCAATAGCAGCCAACACTCAACAATAGTAGTCTACACTTAATAATAGCAGTCTACACTTAACAATAGCAGCCAACACTCGACAATAGCAGTCTACACTCAATAATAGCAGTCTACGCGTGTCTACAAAGTAGACACATTTAATGGATAACAACTTCTTCATCGCCTTTACAGTAAATTTTGAAGTTGTTATCCATAAATTGTGCCTACTTTGCAATAAATCGGTACTATAGAATTCAAAGGGAAAACATTTTGTTGTGTGTAACAACGTAAATATCGGGACGAATGGGCATACAGACGGAGGGGCATACAGCACGAGCCTTCGGCAACCCAAACGTGGCAGTGAGCTAACGCTAATATAAATTCGTATATGATGACAATAATCTGCATCTGAACTCACAAATGGTGCCGCAGAATGATTGCAGCAAGAGGACAAATGCATTGATATCCGATACTTGTCGTTGATAAAAATATCAAACTTGTTGCCATGGAAACTCGAAAAGATAATTTTTAAAAACAACTAAACCAGTCTATGTGCCAAGTTTTTAGGATCTGCTCATATCCCCATATTCAGTCGAAGTCAAAGTTGTTGCCATGTAAACTCGAAAAATATTTTTTTTCATAAATGCTCCGGAAACAGGATCTTGCATGGACGGGGAACGGGGAACAATTGCCTTTCCAACTCGGAGGGAAAATGTGGGTGTGCACATCTGTGACTGAGGTGTGATTAGTAGAGGTCAAAAAGTGATATAATCAGTGACACATTGGTATATGCATGTATATATTGCGCCTTTGGACGTTTCACAAACCAACAATTTATCGCATATCTCAACTCAAACTCAATGTTCACCCCCCTGGAGAGTATATAAGCTGACCTACAGTACCTTCTCGTGCAATCGGGGACCCATTTCGAACAAATGCGAACCTCATATTTCCTAATCTGTGATTCAGAGTAGTGCTGATTCCTTGTAACAGTTAGGTGTCATGTTTGCCGAACTCGGTCACCCATCCAGCTACACTCCGCCGCCGGCGTGACTTCCTTTCACCTTATTGTGCGACCTGTGCGCGACGCACATGATCACATGCAACCAAAGTGAACGTAGAATAGTACAATCATGGCAAAAAAATACTCATACATTTTAGAAATTGAATTCTTGAAATTGAATCACGCAGGGTGAGGCGAATGTTAAGGTTCATATCAAAAAATATTTCCGATAATAAAATGAGGCTGACATGAACGTATTGAAACGCGCGTCCGGTTACAAATAAAGCGATAAAACCCTAACCACAGGCAATAGAAAATATCTGCATAAATCAGAATCGATGGTACGATTCCGACTATATCATGAGCATGTGTTTATGAATCACTATCAAATAGTGATGACACCAGGATCCACTTGCACAAAGCGATCTTAGCGCTAAGACTATTGTAAGCCTATGCTAAAGTATGGGAGTTAAGATCATCTTAGCGCTAAGATCGCTTTGTGCAAGTGGGCCCTTGTGTTCGCGAAAAGGTGAGCGTATCCTGCCCCACCGGTGGCACCGATCACAAAAACATGCAAAGGCAAGTTAATCGTTCACCTGAAAAAAACCACGGGAACATATGGTACAAGTCAAAATAGGGAACTTCTTTGGACATCATATTTGTCACTAAGGCGCAAATTTGGAAATGTCCTTCACATGTTTATCATAAAACTTTTTGAAAGCTTTACCGAGGCCTTGAATATTGTAGTCTTGGACAAACCAACCAAACCAAGCATGATCAATTGTGCTGACGGTAGCTTATTGGCTAAATCTTCGTGCAACCAAACTAAAATGATATTAAGAATTTCGAAACAAGTATGGCTAGCGATTAGTAGTTAGAATGTCCATCTGTCTCCAAAGTGAAAGCAGTTCTACAGATTTAGTTAAAACTTTACTTTTTCCCCGGGGGTAACATACATCTTGAGTAAACTTACCCGCCCGTTCCACATATACCAATGCAGAGCTCATATCAAAGAAACCATCAGACACAACGTCGCCCACATGTCTGGTGTTATTAAAGAACTTTTAATAGAGTGAAGAACATTTAATAAATGTCACGTACACGAGAGTCTGCACGTAAGTTTTCATTTGTAGGTTATTTGTAATATAGAATATCAAAGTGCTTTTAAATATTGCGTGTGTGTGTGTGTGTGTGTGTGCGTGTGTGTGTGTGTGTGTGTGTGTGTGTGTTTATTTCAGCTAGTCCAACGATCGCTTTTTGCATGAAAACCATTTTGTCCCGGCTTTATTGGGAAAATATAAAAAAAATTCACATATCAATTGGTAGGTTCTTTAGATTCAGTCAGTCTGATCACGGAAAGATAACTGAGCACTCAGAGGAAGAGGTGGCGCTTGTCATTCTTTACGCAATTACCAGGAGAATAGAAGGGTCTTGTCAAGTTTTGAATCTCCCCAGAGCATGCCTATCAAA